GGGGATTATTTTGAAGGGAATAACATAATTTTGGATGAATAAATGAATATTTTTTTATAAAAATGAAAAGTCACCTTACTTTTTGATCACACCTCGTAAAACCGATATTATACCGGTATTCGAACCGATATATATCCATATCGGTATCATGTTTTACCGGTATTTTATCATTTCAGTTTGCCATACCGGTAGAAAAAAAAACCGAAAAAATATCAATATTATTTCGGTACTTCGTTATCGGTATAGGTCTCTGTTCTCTAAACATTTTATCGACAATTATCGCTATCGTTAACTAGTGACAGCCATTGAGAGCCGCGCTTTCTTCCAGGATTATCCAGCCATTGGCTGTCGCTAGTTAACAATAGCGTTAATTGAGTGTTAATGGCGGACCAATCAGCAATCGCTTCAGCATTGCCTAGACTCTGTTATAGGGACCCCACTGTCTACGTGACAGATTTTCTAATCTCAACAACAGCATAATTATAGAAGTTGTGCGCCCCTTTACAGGGAGGGAGGGAGAGTTAGAGTCGCTTGGCGTGAATATATAAACACTTATGTCTTTTCATCATCTACTAATATTTTTCCGATCGTTATTGCGTCTGATTGAATTTGTGTGCAATCGGGTCGATGCGCAATCGGGTCGGTGCGCAATCGGGTCGGTGCGCAATCGGATCCGTGTGCAATTGGATCGTGCGCAGTCGAGTCGGTGCGCAACCGAGTCTGTGCGCAATCGGGTCGATGCGCAATCGGGTCGGTGCGCAATCGTATCTGTGTCCTAATGCAACGCTGTGTGTCCTATCGAGTCCGTGTCCAATCGAGTCTGTGTCCGATCGCGTCCGTGTCCAATCGAGCCCGTATCCGACTAAGAAATACTGTCGATTGATAATGTACGTAATCGAGCCTCACTCGGCGCTATTAGGGCTAATAAGGGCAAATCAGAGTCAACGCTTATCTCAGCTAAGGGCTTTAGGGCTTTATAGACCTTAATAGCGCCTTATATAGCCTATTATTGGCCTTTATGATGAATTCCATCACTCGGACTACACTGGATCAGTGTATATTAAAAGCTGTTTTCTATAAATTAAATACCCCAATGAAGTGATAATTCGAATATACATGACTGGACAAAACCTCGGGTTGTAAAAATTATTATTTTAAATCGTTTATATTTCGTAAGAAGAGTTTTGAAGTGCAATTAAAAATGTTTGTGAGTCATTCTATTAATTATAATTAATGAATCTTTTTTGGACCATGTAATTGACCGAAATAATTAGCCGGATCTAAATTCAACAATGTTCATACATGGAATCATTTGGATTTCGGGTAATTATACAGCCCAGCAAACACGGAGTATAACTATAACGTAACCTGGAAAAAAAATAATGTAACCGAATGTTACATTGTAGTGATATTAATATAATATATTTTGTTATATACCAGATATGTAAATGTGAAACCGGAATTTTTTAATAGAAAATACACGTTTATTGCATGAAAATGATAAAAAATATTTTATTCGAAGTATTGTCCATCGCTAGCTATACATTTTTCCCACCTGTCTGACAATTTGTGGATGCTACGTCAAACAAATTGTTGCTCTTTTGAGCCAAACCAGTCATCTACCCATTTTCGTACATCTTCGTAAGAAGTGAAGCGCTGCGGAGCAAGTGCGTGTCCCATCGATGCAAATAAGTAGTAATCGGACGAAGCCAAGTCTGATGAATAAGCCGCATGCGAAAGTATTTCCCAACCAAACGCCTCAATCGTTTCCTTGACCAGTTTTGCTGTGTGTGATGGTGCATTATCATGAAGCAAAATCACTTTGTGTTGCCTTTTTTAATATTCCGGTCGTTTTTCATGCAAAGCTTGATGCAACTTGATCATTTATTGTCGGTAGCGTTCAGTATTAACGGTTTCCCCAGGTTTTAGCAACTCATAATAGATCACACCTTTCTGATTCCACCAAACACAGAGCATTGTCTTCCGTCCATAGCAATTTGGCCTTTCAATCGATGTCGATAGTTCGCCTGGAGTAACCCATAATCTTTTACGCTTAGGATTCTCAAAATATATCCACTTTTCATCGCCAGTCACAATTCGATGGAGAAATGACTTTCTTTTGTACCT